AATGGGCCGGATCCGGCCCGAGGGCCGTAGTTTGCCCACGGCTGTCTTAGCTGCTTCCTCTTTTGGACAATTATGAATTAAGGTGCTAATATCTGTGTGCAGACGTACGTTTTCAACTTCTTTGGGTAAATCCTGAGGCGTGCATTTGCTGGACTGTATCACATGGAGAATTTTTAGTGTGACTTGCAAACATTTTTCCTTGGTCAGTGGCTTCAATCAGAAGCATTTTCTTATTGAGGTGTAGTGTTCTACAGTTAAGCACACGAATCTGAAGCATATGGTTTGATGAGTTTGTACACGTATGATCAAGATGTGGACCATCTCAGCACCCAGAAGCCTCCTTGTCCACCTTCCCCGTCCCCGCCCCTCAACTGTCCAGAAATGGCTACTGACTTCCAGCATAATCACTGGTTCTGCTGGTCAGGCAGCTCCCACGCTGCCACTATTGAAAGCAGATTTTTTTAGGGGAAAAGCGGCCGTTAGTAGCAGCTTGTTTCCTTTTTGGTTTGTTTTGAGTGGAGCCTGATTTCATCACCAAATTGTTCCTGCTGGTCTGGACCAGGGGTTGGCACACTTTCTGGGTAAATATTTTAGCTTTGCAGGCCAGCGGATGAGTGAGCATGGCTGCGTTCCAATAAAACTTTAGTTACGAAGATAGGAAGTGAGCCCAACGGGGTGCTGGGCCTGCGTTTGCGAACCCACATAGAGCAGAGCTTTCAAAGCTTTGTGAGGTTCCGTCCAGGCCCCGCTCAGCCTGCACCCGCGTGAGTGGGACAGGAGCGTGCACATTTGAAGGCCCCTCAGGAGACTCTCATGCACTTTCCAGGTTGAGACATCTCAGTGTTTCCTTCTAAGGAGGAAGACAGTAGGTGTCCTGGGTCCAAGAACTCCACAAATAGCTTTAAATGTAAACAAAAGTCCATTGAGCCTCTTCCCACCTTAACACTTTGATGAAGGTCTCATTTCCCCTTTCACCATCTGTCATTCTTCCCACCTCCTCTACTGAGAGAACAGGCTTCTACGGGCCAGGTGGAGGGGGCGTTGGGGACCCAGTGGAAAACTCTCCGTATTAAAGTTGAGGAATGAAGGTGGTTCTTCAGCAAAAGCATCGGGGCAGGGGAATATGGAATCTGGAGTCTTGGGGGAATCCTGAGATGAAAAGTGCCCCCGGGGAATGAGAGGGGGAAAGTTGTGGTCAGAGGGGGAATTTTCCAGTGTGGCTCCTCGAGGTGGAACAGTTTCGAGTGACTCCGAGGGCTGAGATAACAACAGCTGCTTGCAGTTACCGAGCACAGCCTGTGTTTCTAGCACTTCATACTCGCCAGCTCCACTTGATCTGTTCGGTATCCTAGGAAGTGGCTGCTGCTCGCACTCCCATTGTACAGAAGCAGAGACTGAGGCTGAGGGGTTACGTAGCTTAGGGAGGGCTGTGGAGCGATTCTGAGGTTGGAGCCAGGACTGGAACCCTGGCAGTTGGGCACCTCTCAAGGGACGACCAGGTGGGTGCCTGGGAGGGTGGAATTGGAAGCCAGTGGCATTGAGAGGTGGAGGTGGCGTCGGTGTGTGTGTTTGCTCTGCAGCTGCGGAGGTGGCAGGAGAGAATGCTGGCAGGATGGAGGACCCCATGGCAGGGAAGAATGGACAGGCTTAAGCCATAGCCTTCAAAACTCTCAAAACTAGAAAACTCGCAAAACTAGAAAACTGGTCTGCGGCCACATTAGCGCTAGCTGGGGGCAAAAGCTGGGCAAATTCCAGAGAGAGACTGCATGAGGCTTTGGAGGGTTGTCCAGAGAGCAGCCTGCATGAGACAGGATTAAAGCAATATTTGAAAGTGCAACAGGCATCATTTTCTACTTGCTTTGGGCATTGTGTGAATAATAGTAATTTGATTGAATCACAATAATAATACCTCCCAACTAAGCAGAACTTTCCAACAATTGGAATTTTTTCTGTGTTTTATTTCAGGAAACCACAGCCTAAAAAGAAAGAAAAAGAAGTGGTGGGCAGGGGATTTATTCAAATACACCAACTTCCAGGTTTTACTGCACACTTGGGTCTCTCTTACATCTTTTAAGTCTATATTGTCCTACAAAGAGGACAGATGTCCCAGTGTGCCTTAAACGACTCGATTACAAGTTTCAACACAACAAATATTTGCTGAGAATCTTAAAAATCATGTACTCTTGGGGATATAAAAGTATCTAAAACATGGTTCTGCCTTCGAAGAACTTTCCAATGTGGTAAGATGATTCATTTATCTTCAGCATGAAGGGATAAAATTGTATAGACAGTTTATTGAAAATCCTCAATAAGATGAAGACCAAAAAGGGTATAAGAGATTCCCAAAAGTCTTGTCTTCTGGAACAGTCCAGATTTGGACGGTTTTGATCACATCTAATTCTTTTTTTTTTTTTTTCAATCCTCACCTGAGGATGTTTTTTTGATTTGAGAGAGAAGCATCGATGGGTTGCCTCCCATATGTGCCCCGTCCAGAGAGCAAACCCACAACCTAGGTATGTGCCCTGACTGGGAATCGAACCCATGACCTTTTGGTGTATGGGATGACGCTTCAACCAACTGAGCCACCCTGGCCAGGGCATCACATCTAATTCTTAAGTGCCAGGTACTCTGTCCAGGCCGGCCTTTCACCCAGGCTGCCAGGAGAGCCCAGCGTCGGAAAGGCACAGATGAGAAACGTTCTGGCGCATGGCTGGTGTTTGGGCACGGGCCCCTGCTTCCTCTGGAACTTCCTCTGGAGCATCAGGAGTACGTGCAGAAGTCATAAACTCTGCTTCTGAATCTTAGTCCACGTTCCCTTGGGAGTGTGAAACCACCCCACTCTATAGGAGCCCCTTGTTGACTTACTCTGACCCTGCTGCTTTTTGGGAAGTCCTAGCAGGCTCATGCCCTTGCAGGTGTGCTGGCTGCCTCTTTGTCATCCCAGATGTTGCAAGCGGGCGGCTGGCGGGCCAGGATGATACGCGGCCTGCATTATTTTATTAACAGAATTAGTAGCCATCGCTTAAAATCCTATTTGCCATCCAAGTCTGGATTTCTAGCTTCTTGTGAAATGTTGAATCTGGCAGTACAAGGGTAGATGTGCAGAGTACAGTCCCCTGCCCTGGAGGGAGGCCTGCCCCCTGCCTCCCTAGCAATGGATGGCGCTTTCATTGCCATCATCATTGGCCCTGCACTGTTGCTTTCTTGATCTTGATTGAGTGTTTTTCTCTACCTGAGCTCTATCAAAAGTGGATTCCTAACAAAATAAATAGAAAGCCATGAGTGTCTTCTCTTCTGCCTGGCCCATGTCACCCACGGCTGTCGCCTGCCTGACCCCTACAGGCATTTGTTATCTATCTGCTCCGACGAATGGGTGTCCCTCGTTATTGGTTACCCGCAGGTCTCTCATCTTCCAGATACACTTTTGAAGCATTTGATGTAGGATGAGCACATTCCCCTTGGTTCTGTGTCTTCTTTTGTGCCTCGGGGCTCAGTGAACAAAACCCATCTCCCCCTAGGCTCCATTTCATCATTTAAGTCCCATTCGTCATGAGCAATCACGAGTTAGACCTGTCGTTGGCACATCACTCTCATTTCCCTCTATCCAGGAACATGCATTCCCCGATGACTCGAGACAGCACCCATGAGCGGCACGTGGACCCACTGCTCCACGACTGGGTAATAGCCCAACCTTTGCTTTAGGGAACTAGTCACTGCTGCTGCTAGGTGGGAAGGCAGTGAGTGACCACGGTCACACTCCACTTCAAAGGTGACCCAGTTTCAAAGAGGGCAAGTGATGTTTGTCATCAAAAGAGGGGAAAGTACGGGATTCTTCAAGAAGGGAAGAAATTGACTACAGTGCTGACTGTCGCGGGCCTTCTAATTTAGGGCTGCCCGCCCCTGGAGCTGCAGCCCGGCTGAGTTTGGTGTGAAATGTGCCAGGGAGAGCGTGGGAAGTCAGACACCATGGAGTGAGGGGCCTCCTGGGCTCTTTCCTAGGCACCCCTTGGCCACCTTCTTCCACCTGTTCTTCCGAGTGAGCGCCATCGTCACTTACGTGGGCTGCGACTGGTTCAGCAGAAGCTTTGTGGGCTGCTTCGTCACCGTGCTCCTCCTTCTGTCCTTCGACTTCTGGTCTGTGAAGGTGAGGCCCCCCTGTGATGCCGCTGCGCCCGGGTGGTGGCTGTCCTGATGCAGGTGGTCGATTTGAGCGAAGAGGTGCTCTGGCTGGAACTGCTGATACATTCTTAGGAATACGGAGCCGGAGTCACTTAAAATTAGGGGAGAAAATACATTGTTTAGTGTGGAGTAAATGGCTTCAGGATATCACCTGTTGCGAATATGTGCCATGTGAGATGACAACTCCATATGGCTTTGATCTTTAATAAAGTTTACATAGAATATACAGAGATTTAAATGTTCTACCTAATGTGGAGATATATATATTCGGGGAGTCTGTCACTTTTTAAGGTAAGCTTAATTAAAAATTAGAAGCCTTGAAAACTGACTGAGAAATCACCACAGTCCAGTTCCCCACCTCTTTGCTCCCAGTACAAGTTTAACTTCTGTTTTATTCACCAACAAACAGGTGAGGACCTGCCCTTTGCCCAAGGTGCACTGAGTCATTTTGTCCCTTTTCCTCAGAATGTAACTGGGAGGCTCATGGTGGGCCTCCGCTGGTGGAACCAGGTCGATGAAGATGGGAAAAGCCACTGGATTTTTGAAGCCAGAAAGGTATTCTCCATGACGAGACGAACCAGCACGGGGAGAGCAGCTGTGGGAAGTGTCCGTGGGTTCCTTTCGGGCTCTGTGCAGCTCTGATCCTGCCCTACCCAAAGTCCACCGGGGCCGGCACCTAGTGCGTAACAGGAGCACATGTAGAATCAATGAACATGACGGCATGAATCACTTTCCCACACAGGTCTCTCCGAACAGCATCGCCGCCACCGAAGCAGAAGCCCGGATCTTCTGGCTCGGCCTCATTATCTGCCCGATCATTTGGATTGTGTTCTTCTTCAGCACCTTGTTTTCCTTGAAGCTAAAGTGGCTGGTAAGGCAACACCCGACTCTGACGTTGCTTTGACATCTGCACACAACCAGGGGTCCCAGGAGTGGATTGTTATTTATTGACAGATTTATTGAAATAGCTGTATTGAGATAATTCACACACCATACGGCTCGCCTATATAATGTGTATAATTCAATGGCTTCTAGGTGTTCAGTTGTGCAGCCATCACCACAATCACTTTCCGGATTTTCACCGCCCGCAAAGACACCCTGTAGCCTTCAGCCATCACTACCTCCCCAGTGCCCCTGTTCACCCAGCCCGACACCCACTCATCTTTGTTTCTATAGGTTTGTCTATTCTGAACATTTCCTATAAGTGGAATCATACAATATGTGGTCTTTTGTGACTGGCTTCTTTCATGTAACGTAGCATTTTCAAGGTTCATCCATGCTATAGCATGTATCAAGACATCTTTCCTTTTCAGGCTGAATATTCCATTGTATGGATAGGCCACCTTTTATTTATCCCTCCATCCATTGATGGCCATTTTGGTTGTCTCCACCTTTGGTGTATGAATAATGCTGCTAAGAGAGGAGTTATAGAAAACACCTATGACATCCTACCTTGGACAGGGAACCCTTCCTAGGTAGGAATAAGCTAGCCTCAGAGTTCTGAAGTTTTATTTCAGAGCTACTGTATTTTGTTGCCATGACCTGTTTCGTTCGCTGAGAAAACAAAATATCCATAGACAATATAAGCAGCAGCGTGATTAGAGGTGTGGACTCTGGAGTTTGGGTGCTGGTTTGGCCTTGCATCAGCTCCTGGACTTTGGGCAACTTTCGTGTCTCTGGGATGATAATGGCACCGACTTCTCAGGTTGGTGATTAAAAGGTGTCCAGGAGTCTTGTAGGTGCTCAGTCAAGGTTGGCTGCTACGTCAGGTGCAGGCCAGAGCCACCGCCACTGGGTGTGGGAGGAACATTTCCATCTAAGCTCAGGAGACTGACGTTTGCTTTGTCTGAGCGCAGGCCCTCGTGATAGCGGGGATCTCTCTCCAGGCCGCTAACCTGTATGGCTACATCCTGTGTAAGATGGGAGGCGAGAGTGACATCAGCAAAGTCGCAGCCAGCTTTCTGTCCCAGACTGTGTTCCAGACGGTGAGTGACTGAAGCTCAGGGGGAGGGGCCTGTTGGCAGCTGCGGTGTTGAATGTTTCCTCGTCAGTCAGGCTGCCACAGTTAGTCTCTTTAAATTGCGGTGAAATATACACAACATAAAGTTGACCATTTTAACTAGCTATTTTTAATCTTCACCTGAGGGTATTTTTTTCATTGCTTTCTCAGAGAGTGGGAGGGAGAAAAAGAGGGGGAGAGAGACAGACAGACAGGCAGACAGACATCGACTGGTTGCCTCCCGCACGCTCCCGAACAGCAAAAATTGCGGTGAAATATACACAACATAAAATTGACCATTTTAACTAGTTATTTTTAATCTTCACCTGAGGGTATTTTTTGCATTGCTTTCTCAGAGAGTGGGAGGGAGAAAAAGAGGGGGAGAGAGACAGACAGGCAGACAGACATCGACTGGTTGCCTCCCGCACGCTCCCGAACAGCAACCTAGGTACGTGCCCTTGACCGGGAATCGAATCTGTGACCCTTCAGTGAGCAGGCTGACGCTCTAACCATGAGAAACGCTGGCCAGGGCCATTTTAACTATTTTCAAGTGTACATTTCAGTGTCATCTAGTACATTAACATTGTTGTGTGACCATCCATCCCCAACCACCATCTGTCTCCAATCTAGAACCTTCCCAAACTGAAACTGTACCCATTAAACAGAAACTCCCTGTTGCCTGATCCCCAGCCCCTGGAATTCACTATTCTACTTTCTGTTCCTATGAATATGATGACTCCAGGGACCTCACACAAGTGGAATCATACAGTATTTATCCTTCTGTGACTATCATCGTTAGTCTTCCGTGATTTTAAAAACTGTAGAGTTTAGAAGCACAAACAATTTTTTAACCTCACATATAAATGAGGTGAAATAAATGTGACCAGGCTCATCCTGAAGTGGTGTGGACCGTGTTAAATGTTCATACACTACTGTATGCTCTTGGCACATGGTGGGTTTGCCCTGGCCTCGAGTCGGAATCAGGCCGGCACAGGTGGGACCGAAAGCCATGGCTGCCTTTCCTTGCAGGCCTGCCCACGTGACTTTGAGAAGCCTGGCCTCGAGGGGCTGGAGATCCACAAGTGTTAGGTGAGAGGCGGGATCAAGGCAGGGGTCTGGACCGGGGCTGGAGTCTTGTGAGAAGTGCAGCTCCCCCGTGCTCAGCTGTGCCCGTGGCCTGGGCAGCCTACCCAGTGCCCTGAGTGGCCAGGGGCATAGCCAGGTGGGGAACCAGCCTGTGCACTGGGCATCCGGGACTTTGTGACTGCATCACCCTTTACTGGGGTCCCACCCTCCTCATGTTGGACATGTACAAATTCGACCACATGCAGGCATGAGGGGGAGCAGGGAGGGAAATGAGAAGATGAGAGGAAAGAACAAGGGAATTTGCCCACCTACCACTTACACTCGGAGTAAGATGGAAAACAGGAATTTACGCTTCCCTCAACTGTCTCCATCCCTGTGCATCTCAGAGGGAGCTCTCTTGGCAATGTCCATAATTCTAGAGTTCACCCCTGTCTTTCCTGTGAAATGTCTTGTGTGCCAGCGGAAGTTACTGGGGGATTGTCATGTGACTATACAGGGCCGACACAGGCCCTAGTTCGGTTTAGTGGGTGATCTCAGGGCTGCTCAGGGGTGTTCTGACCACGTGCAGCTGCATCGACGCTAACCTCAGAACAAGCCCTGGCTTGAGGCTCCATCGATGTTCCTTTCCCCGATCTGGAGAGTAACTGGACTACTACTAACACCGTGACCGTGTGCTCTGCACCGAAGCCACACCTCATCCCTTTGCTTCCCTTTCAGGCATATCTTCAGAGGCAGCAGTAGCGAGGTGAGGGCTCTGCAGTCAAGCAAGCTCCAGCAGGCATTCCGACCAACAAGCCGCGGGTTTTCAGTGAAGCAGGGACTTTTGAGGAGACGCTTTTATTTTTTAAATGGCAAGTGTGTAAAGAACGCCCTTTACATGTGATCTAAAGAAAACTGTACAAATATCAGATGATTAAAGTGTCTGCAAAAGTGACTTCACACCACACCAGAGTCTGGTCCCTCTCTGCCTTGAGCCCACTCTGTGCCCGAGTGGTCAGGACGCGCTGGCTGTGCTGCTTGCGTCCATGTCCCCCCGTGTTTCAGGAACTAATGAGGTCCTCTCTTCTTCTGGCCGATGGAGGCTACAATACTCCTGGATTCCTGGAAAACAAGGCGGCAGGCAGAGAAACACTGGCAGCTCCTAGTGCCCCGGGCAGCCCTGCCTGTGCCAGCCTGGGCGCTTCCAGGCTGGGGTGGAATCCCCAGATGTTGAACTCCCTAAAAAGCCCCATTTCTGTTGATGCCCCGAATCTTCAGTGACCTGAATACCACACACTGCCCATCGTGGTGAGAACCACGCTGGAGGCCCGTCCTCGGTTCATTCTTCAGAGCCTGGGAGTGATGTTACTTCCCCAACACCACTTCACTAGGCAGAAAGCCCCGCACAAACCAGACTGTAGGCCTTTGACGACTGTCGCCTTGGCTGCCGGTTGGGAACTGGAGCTGCACGTGAGTTTGGTGTGGCTCACTAGGCTTTGTGTCTTTTCTTCTTAATTTTCTTTGGACAGCTTTACCGAGATGCGTTTTCTATGCTGTAAAATCCACCCTCACTGTGTCTTTTACACTATGACTTAGCCCACAATATTGACGTCCTGACAGGTTTCTCAGAGACTCCCGGCCCCTGGGTTGAGGGAGGCGCTCTCCAGGTCATCCCAGACCCCACCCCATTGGCCTGAATGCCCAGCCAAGGCTGCGAGGCAGTGACCACTTATGATCCTAAAGGGTCTCCTCACACCCAGCCCACTCTGCTCGTTTATGTCACCCCCTGGCCCCACAGCCATCTGGATTCACAAGGCTCACATAAACACTTACTTTGAATGATACTTCTGTAGGCTACCGTAGCTGGTGAATCTGGCGTGTCAACCAAAAAAGACCGTCCTTCATCACAACTCTTCCCTTAAAGAAACAAATGAAAGGGAATTAAATCCCTGAAGAAAACCAAGTGGCAACATGGCCTTGGGGCTCTTTCTGTGCCTGTGACATTAGGAAGCTCCTGAACCTGCTGCATTCATAAGGAATGACGCCAAGAAAGAATGGCGGGGCCTCAGAGGACCCCCTGCCTCCCTCCATCCACAGGGGCCCTCCCTGGCCCAGGGTGTTCCGTGTGTGTGTGCGCCTACAATTCATCTGGGTGGTGTGGCAATGCAGGTTCCAGGGCCCCACACAGGACCGATTCAGCAGCTCCTGGGTGGGCCCAGGGACTGAGTTTTCAAAGATTAATTAGTTCTTTTGAGTAAAAAGATAATGAATGCACATGGAGAAAAACGTACCATAAAAGGTGAGGCTATCAGTGTTTCAGATGTCTTTCTAGAAACTGTATGTGCATATATACGTGGCACGTACATAACCATGCACCCATATACTTAAAAAAAAATGAATGGCCGCGTATGATACACATGTTCTGCCCACTGCTTTTTCCATGTATACTAGCATCCTGAAGGTCATTCCACATCGGCATCAACCTGTCTGCGAATCTTTCATAAGACTGTCCACCCTGGTGTCCTCCTGTGGATACGCAGATTGCCTCTAGGGCCTCATGTTAACCCAGTGTCCCGGCGAGCAAATGCAGGGGGCCTGCCCCAGTGGGCGCAAGGCCTTCTCGCCTCCTCCACCTGTCTGCCCACCCCCATTCCTGCATAGACCCCTGCGGTCAGCGTTTCTGCCCCTGCCCCCAGATGCTGAGCACCGCTGGAGAAGCAGGCTCAGTGATTCCCCACCCACAGCTGCTCCCCAATCTCAGTGGGCCCTGGTGAGGCCAACCTGGAACTGTCATTTCCTCGACTCCCCCACGGGACAGGGAAACCAGAGCAGGGGAGGAGCCCAGGTGAGGGGGCACAGAGGTGGAGCTCCCGTAGGAACGTGTGGAAGCAGCTCGGGAAGCCCGCCGGAGTTCACGGCAGCAGAACCAGGTCTGGGAAGCACAGGTCCCAGAACTGTCCCCTAAGGGACCATTGTTCATTTCCTAGTGCTCTCCCTGCACCTGGCATCGCCCTGACCAATCTCTCCTCCACTCTTCCAGCCCCACCTCAACCAGCCCTGCTACCTGAGGTCTGCCTGCTCCCCTGGCCACCTGCCCGCCTGGTTCACTGCCTCTCTCCGCTGCAGGGGGAGCTCCTGGAGGTGGTCCGGGGGCCGGGCCCCAGTGTATGAAGGCCCCACTGAGCAACGGAACCGGGCGTGGAGACTCACTCACCTATGTGCGGGTCCAGGGGCACTTTGCCGAGGAGCGGTATCTTCAGGTCCTGGCACATGGTCTCTGCACCCCCCGTTGTGGGCGGGAATATCTGAGACTCTTTCTGTGAGGCAAAGTAAATGGGGGGGAGAATCATGACTTTGTTTCAGGATTACAAGACTGAACCACATTTTAAAGGAAGTTTTCAAAAACGTCCCTTCTGAACGTGAAACACTAACTACCAAAGACTTTCCATTCAGCCAGCAGTGCAGCACTGTCACTGTGATCCCACTTCTGGAAACAACGGGGAAAGCATCCGGTTTCACAGAGACCCGCGGAAGGGGCTGGTCAGCACTCACCTTGCACTTGGGGCAGACGAAGCCGCTCATGTTCTCCACCACCCCGATGATGGGCAGCTTCACCTTGTGACAGAAGCTGATTTCTTTCCGGACATCCTGCAGGGACACCTCCTATCACGGTTCAAAAGACCAGTTGTTTCAAAGTCAAAGTACAAGCAAGAGAATGTGTGTGGTCGAGGGACGGCTGCAATGCAGTGGCTCGCCCTCAGAAAGCTTAGGGAGGTGAGCCGTTTATCCAATGAGTACTTAGTGCCGACCATGTGCTAAGCCCTATCCTAGGCATTATTCATTTCCCACAAAACCCAGAAAGGATGAACCCGCACAGCCAAACATCAAATATATAATGAGTCTACAGAAAAGTGACCTTTTAGCATCTTTTTTTCCTTTTTTTTGGATTTATTGAAGTGACACTAGTTAACAAAATTATACAGGTTCAGGCGTGCAATTCCACAACACATCATCTCTACACTGTATTGTGTGTTCACTACCCTGTCAGGTCTCCTTCCATCACCATGTATCCTCCTACACGCTCCTTCTCCCCCAACTAGCATGTCCCAATGTTTACTTTCTTTTCAACAGACTATGCTGAGCTAAAGTGTGCACTATTTTTCATTCAGAGGTTGGGGAACTAGGCCTGTGGCGAAACCTGGCTGGCTGCCTGTTTGTCAAGTTCTTCTGAAACCCAGCCATGCCCGTTCTTTACATACTGTCTCCAGTAGCTTCCACCCTACAGTGGTACAGCTGAGTGGCTACGACAAGGACCACATGATCTCCAAAGGCTAAAATATGTACTATCTGGGCCTTCACAGAAAAAGTTTGCTGACCTCTGATCTAGATTATGATGAAGACAAACAACTTTGTGGACAGAAAGAAAATAAGATCTTTGGATCACTTAAAATTCACTTCTGAACTCCGCATGTATATTTCACAGTGTGAGTACTGAGTATGATCATTGCTTAGTACCCCCCAACTCCCCCACCCCCGTTCCCCGGTTAATGTTGTTGCAGACACATGTCCTCAAGTATGGCTACTCCTTAGCACCTAAGGTGTGACTGACAGTCACGGCTCCCGAAGGGTCACAGCTCAAGTCGCCTACTCTCCAGAGGCACACATTTGGCTCTAGGCCTCTGTGAGGCTGGGTGCAGGCATGTAGCTGGAGCGTAAACCGGCTCTGACTGTGCATCTCATTGCGCCTCTGGTTCTCTCCGTGGTGTCCTGTAAAGCCTGCGGTGCCCGATGTGAAGGGCTCTGAGAAAGTGGGTGTCCACAGCCCGAAGTGACATTGTCCAGACAGGCTCTATACAAAGGACACACGTGGCGCGTGCCTGCTCCCCTGGCTTCCCGGGAAGGGCCAGCACCTGTTGGTCCGTCTCCTTTTCTTGACCCCTCAGGGACTCCATGTTTCCATTCACAACAAATGTGGCAGGAGAAGCCGTCTTTGGGCCAACTAGACTTTTGCTAATAGACTTTCTTTTTAGAGCAGCTTTATGTTCACAGCACTCCTGAGCGGGAAGTACAGGGACTTCTCACAGGCCCTTTGCCTCCACACACGGAAAACCTTCCCCGTCATCAACATCCCGGGTGGTGCATTCCAGCCAGACTGTTTCCTTCTAGTAATTACATTGGGAACAATCCATCTTCTCTCCACCTCCACCGGGCCAGTGCCCAGGTGGCCTCTAGCCACCCAAGTGGTGTCTTGCTCCTCATGCCCCCGACATCTCTCTGCACAGGGAACCAAAGTGATCCAAAGACATGAATACTGTCACACCACCGGACAGCATCCTGCGTGTGCCCATATGTGCAGCGCCCACGTTCCTTGGTGACCACATGGGCCATGAGGGGGGACCGGTATGTTTCACTGCCCTGGTGCCCGGCCCAGGGCCTGCATGTAATGACTGCTCAGTGAGGGCTTGGTGAAGGATGGGGCCGGCTGCCTGATTCAGAGGCAGACCAAGCCTCGTTACCCTGCTTCCTTAGGAGTGGGGAAGAATATTGTGAGAAGCATAACTGAAGAGAACCAGCTGTTGGTTTCTTGGGACACTTAAGATCAGCCGCAATGATAAAGTACAACCCAGGCCTGATGCATTCACTGCCTGCTGGACTTACCCAGTGAGGGTTCCTCACAGCCCCGTACACAGCCTCTGTGACTGGTACACGAGGATCTGACAAGGCCCACAGCAGCTTCCCCAGAAATCCCCGCCTACGCCCGGGCTGGTGCTGTGGAAAACTGGGGAGAGTTCCAAACTGTTCTGCAATGTGAGTGAGGGGGCCCTGCAGACTGTGGGCTTGATGCATGAGCGTGGTAAGGGTGAGGTGACCATGGCGGACCATCTGAACTGTAACAGCACCATTGCTCTCGCTGGCTTTGTGAGAGGAAATTAAAAGGCAATTTTGAATTACTGCTGGACCAAAAAAACCCAACTGTGGAATGCTTATTTGTCAAACGCAAATGCCCGGATCAAACATAAACGGGGTTTCTGCAGAGACAAAGCAGGGCTGCTCGTCCTGAAGGTCCCTTGACAGACCAAGGTCTCGGAGTCTGCGAGGAAGAAAGCTTCTGGGCGGCGCAGTCCCCACCCAGCTCCCTCCGCTCTCGGTCACCTGAGGGGTGGTGATGATCACGGCGCCATCGATGTGTGCGGCGGCCAGGTACTGGACGACCGAGAGGTGCTCGTCCGACGTCCCAGGGGGGGTGTCCACGATGAGGTAGTCGACCTCTCCCCAGTCCACATCGCGGAGGAACTGCTTGATCATGCCTGAGAGGAGGGACCGCACTGAGGCCAGGCCTCCCTTTCCCCAGGCTGGGCTGGGGGCTCCACAGAAACAGTCTGTGACCCTCACGCGCAGACTCTCAGCCATGGCATCTGGCAACGTCTGGAGACATTGGTGGCTGCCACGCCGAGGGAGGGGGTGCTGCTGGCATCCAGCGCAAAGGCCAGGCTGCCCCTGACATCCGTGGTGTGGAGCACTGTCCACCCCTCCCCTCACTACTACGGCCCCCCATGTCCCAGGGCCGAGTTTGAGGACTCTGCCTAAGCCTCAGTGCCCACTCAAGCTGGTATCGATTTCAGTTCAGACACTTCTCTCTCTGACACAAATAAGCCACTACGAAACCACAATAAATATGGATAATTTCAGGGTTATATAGGTTTTCAGGAGAAAAAAAACCCACAATAGATAATAAAAACTGTAAAACAAAAACTGGTATTTCTTCAACCAGTGACGACAGAGGCAACTGGACGCTTAAAAATCCTGCTGCGGCGTCCCGACAGCAGGGGCGCAGGGGAGCCCGAGCAGTCCTGCCTGGGAGAGAGCGACAGAGAGCGGGGCACAAACCGTTCTTCTTGGGTCCTCTCCAGATGACAGCGTCGTCGGGGCTGCTGAGTAAGAAACCCACTGACATCACCCCCAGGTTGTCTTCCAGGAACTGGAGGGGATGAGGCAAGAGACATTTTACTTAAAGCCACAGCACAAGGCACTTCCTTATGTCTCGTCTGGCTGAAAAAAACCCTTTGGGGGTAATATTACTGTGATCTATGAGTACATGCACTCTTTGAACCCTCAAATCATTCTGAGGGGGAAAAGGGTACCATATGGTGGGACGGAAAGAGGTATCATTGGCCCTCAGCCACAATGACAGGCGACTTGGCTGAAATAAATGAGCATCATGTCCTCAACTGGCTGAGCCTGGGCTGGGCTGGGGCCCCTGGCCACACCTGGCCCACCATCTGCTTTTGTACATGAACTTTCACTGGAATACAGCCATGGTCATTCATTTACATATTCCTGCTTGTGAGCTACAGTGATGGAGAGGGTATGGCCCACAAACAGAAAATGGCCACTGTCTGACTCGACAGAAGCGGTCTGCCAAGCCCTGGTCTTCATGGAGGCTTGCGCTAGAAACGTGCCCGGGAAATGCTTGCTGACTGATGCGCAGGCGGGCTGAGAACAGTGTCGCCAGCCACCGCATACCCACTATGCATACATGGCCCAACTCCACTCTGTTGAAAATAAGGCAAAAACGTGAGCACTCACCACTGGAGACCAGCCCGAGCCACTCTGGTGCACCTGTGTGAACACGGGCATCGAGTCACTTGTGAATCCCGCACCCTGGTCACCCTTCATACAGACACATTTTGTGCAGCAAGAAGACAATTTTACAAAATAGAAGTAATCTAAAATGCCACTACTTAATGCTTAATAGGAAGTGAACAGCTGGGGGGGGGGGGGGGGGGGGGTGCTGGTTAATGAAAGTGATAATTCAATATCCTTTCCCCTGTCAAATTGGGCTGTTTTGAAACTGCTTAGATAACATCTAGTCAGGGAACCCGTTACCCAAGTCAAATATAATTTCGGGTCTGAGGTATTTTCAAAGAGTGACAGAAATTGCCTGTGGGTTACTGAGAAAATGCAGTAACTGTGGAGCAGCGGGGGTGCCCCTCCAAGTCCGGAAGTGAAGAAAGTACTGTGAGTGAGCCAGGTGACACAGCACCGCCCTGCCCGTGGCCTGAGCTTCGCTGGGGCCTGCTGTCCCCCGGGAGCAAGCACTGGGAGGAAGGTGTCAGGGAGAGGCTCCCTGGGGGACGTCACGATGGACTCTCCATCATGGGTGCTCATCAATAGCCAGGGCTCAACTTCGCACCACCTGTTCCGAAGCTAGAACTTAAGCAACTCCCAATGACATGTCAATCTTAGAAATCAGAGCAGCGCAGGAGCCAACACGGAAAGTCTGCTTTTCTGAATGAAGTCTTGCTTTCTAAAACAGCTCTCTGGAGACATCAGTCACATAGCGTACAATGCACCTACTGAAAGTGCAGAGTTCAATGGCTTTCAGGATAGTCACATGATCGTACATCCACCACCACAATCAACCCTAGAGGACACCCTGCACCTCTCCCGTCACCCCCAATCCTGACACTTCCCTCCAGAACTAGGTGACCACAGATCTACTCTGTCTCTGCACGCTGCCTGTTTCAGACAGTCATAGAAGTGCAATCATGTGACATGTGGTCCTTTGTGTCTAGCTTGGAAGTCTCATTAAAAAAACAACAACAACACAACAAAACCATCTGTGCCCTGGCTGGTGTGGCTCAGTCGGTTGGAGTGTCATCCTGTGCACTGAAAAGTTGCTGGTTCAATGCCTGGTCAGGGCACATACTGGGGTTGCAGGCTTGATCCCCAGTAGAGGGTGTGCAGGAGGCAGCCAACTGATGTTTCACTCTCACATCAATGTTTCTCTCTCTCTTTCCCTCTTCCATCCCCTCTCTTTAAAAATAATATATACATATAATAATATGCATATAAAATAATAGATACATATAATAGTATGTACATAAAAAAATAAATTCATTCCTACTTATCCAATTTTTAAAAAAAACCTTTCCAAAGAGCAGCTCCCGTGCCTGCCCTGCTCCATGCTGTCTGCTGCCTCACCCTGCTTTAGTTTTCTATTATCTATCGTCTGTCCCTCCCATGAGGGCCAGGGTCTGTATCTGCCGTGCTCACCACTGGATCCCAGCACACAGAACAGTGCCAGCATTTAAATAAGACTGAACCATTCTGGATACTCCCAGCCCAGCCCAGCCCTCCAGCCAGATTCCAGGCACTACCCAGGGGGAGGGAAGCCTTCCTGGGATTGCTTCTCGCAGCTCGGAAGGGAGAGACCAGCACCTGCTCAGACCACCGTGGCCCCGCCCCACCCCACGTCACTCTCCCACTTCATAGTCTCAGTTCCCCAGAGGTAACCACAGGGCAGAAATATTCCCTTGCTTCCAGGGTACAAGCCCCCAGCCAACACTGGTCTGGCTTTCCCAGTCAGCTAAGCTTCCGTGTCTTACTTCTGCATTTTACTTGCTGTTTCCCTTCCCCTCTGAGAAGGCATCGAAACCAACACTTCTTTAATGGTTTAGATGAACTTTATAAATAAT